ACGACCGACGAATGAATGGATATCAAATGCGGTCCACGGACCAAACCGAGGTATCCCTTGACTGGTTTGAATGTGAGTCAATCTTGATCCAGGTCCATAGCTTGGTGCTTCTCGTATCTTCATGAAGATTCTAGCGCAGGCTTGTGGGACATTCTGTGAGCTGTCTCAATCTACCGTGCCTTCTGAAATACCGTATTGAGTGGAGTAGAAAACCAAGAACCGACAAAGAAGTTGCACTCTCGTTGGCAAAACACAACATCCATCTTATTTATGACATACAGCCAGTCTCGTGTTCCTACTTGCTAACAAACTCGCAGTGACCTTATTCGTATTTCGCAACCCAACAGAAAGTTTCGCACTGGTATTCAACTTTATTGCTTCAGCAGTTCCTAGTCCGAGGACTCTTCTGAAATGCCGCTGGATAGTTGAAGAGTGCTTCTTCATTTCTACAATAATATTACTCCGAGATTCATATGCCTAATTTTTTTTCCTGCAGCATCTTTCTCAAATGCTAAAACTGCGATTAGAAAAATGCAGTCCCCTTCAGTGTTAAAGTCTGGATGATACTGTAGCGGACATTCACATGTTCCCTCAACCAGCTTCACCTAATTTGTCCAGTACATGCGTGTGTACTAGATCCCGCGACTGACCTGCTATTACAAGTCAGTTCCTGTTTAGTACGCACGGAACGATTGATGTTTTTTGTACACACGTCAAACTTTCCTGTATAAGGACAGAACACAATTAAACACAAGCACACAAATCACGTGACAAACGCCGTTCCGTCCGCAACTTTAACCGATCACAAGTCAGTTCCTGTCGCTCTTAATAACCGAACATCACGACGAATGAATGGATATCAAATGCGGTCCACGGACCAAACCGAGGTATCCCTTGACTGGTTTGAATGTGAGTCAATCTTGATCCAGGTCCATAGCTTGGTGCTTCTCGTATCTTCATGAAGATTCTAGCGCAGGCTTGTGGGACATTCTGTGAGCTGTCTCAATCTACCGTGCCTTCTGAAATACCGTAGTGAGTGGAGTAGAAAACCAAGAACCGACAAAGAAGTTGCACTCTCGTTGGCAAAACACAACATCCATCTTATTTATGACATACAGCCAGTCTCGTGTTCCTACTTGCTAACAAACTCGCAGTGACCTTATTCGTATTTCGCAACCCAACAGAAAGTTTCGCACTGGTATTCAACTTTATTGCTTCAGCAGTTCCTAGTCCGAGGACTCTTCTGAAATGCCGCTGGATAGTTGAAGAGTGCTTCTTCATTTCTACAATAATATTACTCCGAGATTCATATGCCTAATTTTTTTTCCTGCAGCATCTTTCTCAAATGCTAAAACTGCGATTAGAAAAATGCAGTCCCCTTCAGTGTTAAAGTCTGGATGATAATGTAGCGGACATTCACATGTTCCCTCAACCAGCTTCACCTAATTTGTCCAGTACATGCGTGTGTACTAGATCCCGCGACTGACCTGCTATTACAAGTCAGTTCCTGTTTAGTACGCACGGAACGATTGATGTTTTTTGTACACACGTCAAACTTTCCTGTATAAGGACAGAACACAATTAAACACAAGCACACAAATCACGTGACAAACGCCGTTCCGTCCGCAACTTTAACCGATCACAAGTCAGTTCCTGTCTAGCATGCATCAAAACACACATTTCCACGTTCACTGCAAACGCGCACAAATATATAATGAACCTGACAACACAACACACTCCAACACGCAACGGAGATACGCAAGGCGCACAACACAGCGCAGCATCCCGTGCACGCGGCAAGTCAACAAGACACAACAACGGATCTACCTGACTGGAGTATCTTCAAGAGCTAACCACTCCTGTAGAACATTTCCTGCTCCGCATCTGCAGATCCTTCAAACCAGCGAAGCCTTATCGATGTCATCTTTTATTTCATTGTCATTGTATTTATAAGGTGCACCTAGCATTTGTATTTTTTTCTTAATCACAAACATAAACTTGTTAGTGCATAACACCTTCTGAATTCTAAGCAGTCTAATTATAAGTAGCGCACTAACAATACCTTGAGAAGCGGATAATGCAATTGTCCTAGGAGATTCCCCGGGCAGGTGGGAGTATTACTATCCCGATCTCACCTTCGCCAGCGGCTTTGGACGGAAGTAACTGCAGAGTCAAACACAGCTCATCAGAAGTGACCTATGCGCAAATTTCCTTGACATGAACCAATGCCAAGCGAGATGAAATACATACTATTAGATTTTATAGGGTATTAGAGGAGTGAACGTGAAAATTTAAACGTTTGTTTCGAAGCATAATGATGAGTCCTCTTAACGTGAGTCAGTATCTTGGAAGATCTTACAGTAACTGAGGTTGAAAAATATAGGTCAGTTCGCTCCTGTAAATGTTGTGAATTTCTGCTGGTCCACATCCACTTGGATAACTTTCAGACTGGCCGGAATATCTGCGGTGCGATTTTGCAGGTTTCATTATACAGCGAACCTTAACATGTGAAAACCCATTTTTCAGTTCAGTCACATTTTATTCTCAAGCAAATTTGCGGGGTTCCTTTAAGAACCACAGTTCTTCCGAGAAGTTCCGGAACGGATGAGGTGACTGTCAATGAGAAATCTCACGCGTGAATGGTTGCTGACATTTGTTTGATTACTTCGCGTGGCTGATGCTATCATTTGCTCGATCACTTGATCAGGGCGTCTGCAAACCTTTGAGAAACCCACCAACCACTCGCATTTACAATGTCAAGAGATATTTATCTCCACAATAGCTAGGAAAAATGCTGAACCGTAGATGGACCTCAGGAATTAGCTCTTTCGACCATCCTGGTACAATCCACATTTTGCCTTAAAGGAATAAAAAAGACTGAAAACAAATGGGGTTCAGACGAAGTGAGAAAGAAATGTGGTTGAAACACGCAAGTTACCTGCGTCAATGCTGAACAACGGGCTAGTTGATTGTGGACCGTCTCCAAACAGATTGCGTCCCAGCACTCCAGCTAGCAGCGGTATGCAAAATGGCATACCATCAATCAGTTTGCTGAGACCGTTCGCGTTCACAGTCATCAAGACGGTTCCGTCCGCTTTTTGTACGCTTACTTGGAATTCAGTAGTAGAGCACTCATTTTCGTATTCCCACACAACGGTCAGGCTTGACACGTTGGGCGTTGTTTGTGCGCGAACGTTCCTTGGTGCACTGGGAACTGGAAGAGAATAAGTTACAGCGTAAAATAAACAGAACAGTGACATTGGACATACCAAAATGTGCTGATAAACCTTTCGGAAATGAAATCATTTAGACAGGGTCCTTTGAATTCCAGCTTAGACTCATACACTCTGAGGATCAATTACCTGTTCCAGCAGACCAGATTTCAAGTCAACGGCTTTGACTTCCGAAAATGGGAAACAAAAATTCGTGCAGTGTTTTATTCATATTTATAGTTCGTGTACATTTTGTCTCCCCTACTTGGTACAGTCAGGCTTTTTTTCAAACGGACCACAAGGAATGAGCGTAAAATAACGAAATTGTGTCTGGACGATGGCGTGTAATATTACCAAACACTGGCATTCATGGTGGATGGGATGGCTGGATTTAAGTTGAATGACTGTTTACGTGGGATTGGGGAATTGAAAGAAGATAAGTTACCTGTATGAATGGTAAATGGCAGGCTTTTTATCTCCTGTCCAGATCCAAACGCGTTACGTCCAAGCACTCCAATATGCAAAGGAACACAAGTCGGCAGGTTCGCGATATCGACGTTACGATCTTCGGTGTCCAACGTTTTCAAGGAAGAACCATCCCGATTGTAGACGCTCACGCGAAAATCAACTACACTGCATACGCCATCGTATTCCCACAGAACAGCCGCACTGGTCACTTTGGGCGCCACTGTCGTCTGGATGTTCTTCGGAGGATTTGGAACTGCAACAGAGCAAGAAAAGATCTTGAACCGGGTTCCATTGGAAACGATGCAATTACAATGCTAATGAAGGGAATCATAGCTTCGTCCCATCTATTCGAACTGGAGTAACTAGGATGCAACCGAATATTTCACGCTGGCTAGCCAATCACTGTTTTATGACATAACAAGAGTTCAGTTGCAAGTAATAGGTTCTCATGCTACAGCTGAAATGAAATTGTCCAAAATTAAACGGACTGGTACGGGTCTGGCTTCTGCACCAACCGCACAGCTCGTATGGTGGATATACAAAGAAGGTGTGCAAAAGGGGGGTATAGTGTCAAGCAACAAAGGAGATGTTCCTATTGATAGACAGAATACAACATGCTGTAGATGGAATTCGGACTTGAAAGTTAGAGTAACAACTCCTGGGGATCAACGGTGAAAATAACCTTATTATTCTTCCACTCTTTTGGACCTTAGCATGACTTGTTTCAGATTCAAGATTTGAGACAAGAAGGGGTGCTATCTGGACCCTACTAAGCAATTCGTTTAGGTCACTTCTGTAGAAGACGTCGTGCCCAAATGCAACGGTGTGGTGTGAAAAGGAGAGACCCAATATTTCTTTGTGGCAAAACCCTACTGTGAATTAAAGTGAATTGATTGAATTATGCCGCAATACAAACCAAATCGTGCGCATAAAAGTTGAAGCGGCAATAACCACCTGCGTCTATCGTAAATGAGGTGCTGTTCCTTTGTTGTCCAGATCCGATCCTGTTCTGAGCCAGCACTCCAGCTTTCAGTGGCACGCACACCGGTAGGTCGGGGACTTCGGCGCTACGGCTGCTCTTGTCCACATTGACAAGGGCCTGTCCGTCTGGTTTGTGTACCACCACTTGAAAACCGGTAACTGGACAGTCGCCATCATATCTCCACGAAATAGTCGCTGTCGGCGCATTCGGTACCGTAGTTGCGCGAATGCCTTTTGGGGGGTCGGGAACTGTAAGATAATGAAGAGCGCAGTGAATAAGATTTCATAAACCAATTATTAAGAAAATCGATTCGGCAGACTGCTACAGCGGTGTTTTGAGGTTTCTCAAGCTTAATTACCTTCGAACCTGGTGGGGGAAATTCTCCAATTTTCATGAATAAACTCAATGTTTACTGATCTATATCGATAAAAATTTAGACATACGGTGAAAACATCAAATGATATCTGGTGTGCAGTTTGGATTCACAGAGTGGTTAAGATGTGAACTCGAAAACAAGCCGTTTTATAAAGTTACTCGGTGACTTCGTATTTCAATCTCCCAATCACTGCTAATTACGAACGACTTTTCAAGTTAAGGGATGAAAATGGAGGCAGTTCCCCATTCGCTCGGCTGAAATAAAGATAAGATAAAGAAAAGACAAATAAATAAGATCTCATGAAATTGTCACTAGTTTCCGGAATTTTTTTAAAATTTTTCGTTGTCTGCGATATCCACTGCCTTTTTCCACAGGAAAATACAGTCCTTGTGTAAGTTTATGCAAGGTTTTTAGTGCGTTAGTCGACCTTTTGTACTGAAAGTTTCGTTCCTATTCAATGGCGTGCTTCGAGTTGCAACTGAATGTGTCATGTGACTAGCGCAACGATTAAGCTTTGCTTACAAGCATGGCCTGAATATTTTGGTGCTGCATTGATGACAGCAATGGTGAGAACAACTCGGTGAAATGTATTCATTATACATACCATGGCGTTGCGACAGAGAAACAGCCGCTTTTGATGTACAAGGACGTCAAGTTTCGTGCTTGCAGGGGAACGAGGCTAGGATGTGCAACTTCTGTGCAGTAGAAGATTAGACAGGAGTGATCCTACCTGGGTGAAGAAGGCTGCAGAGCGTGTTGAAGCAGTGAGCTAGTATATGGATTCGTAATGTTCGGAGTTACAAATTATAGGCCATACTGAAGTTGTCCAATGGGTTTCAAGTGTCTGTGACGCCACCTGACTGGGAAGTCTTGAGTCGCAGGTCAATCGATCGTCAAAACCAGAACTGGGTCATCGTCCGGTGAGTCGAGCACACCAATCATATCGCTCAAACTTGAACGTGTTCGCCTGTTCAGACGTGAAAATTCAGATGCGTCCAAAGTGCGTTGGTGGAATAGTGGTGACACGCTCGAGTCGCACGACAGATGTCCGGAGTTCAAATCCTGGCATAGGTATTAGATATACGCTACTGAAGAGCTCTAATAGGAGCAAAACTGTAGTCCACTGCTTCACTTTGGTATGGACTCACCAGAATAATTAAGCCAGGACAGGACGAGGACTGGTCAAACGAGAATGGTGTGAATATGAACATGCTGAAAAAGCGGTGAGTTCGATGTCAGCTCAGACAGGAGAGGAAGCGTACAGCGACACAGCTGACTAAAATAATTGGTCAGTGTGAAAACGCAAGTCATAACTGGATTAATGACATCTTTTGCAGATCTTTATTCCTTTTGAGGAGGCCAATCTATCCTAAAAATTCGGAAAGCACCGTACAATTGTTTTATCCGTAGTGGGAATCACCAACGTTGCGAAGCTCTTCGAAACTATGATGTTTTCGAACTCGGTAGCTCCCGGTTAGTTGTTTGAACTCTTGAACTCTCGACTGCAATCAACAGACCAGCAACGTTCTGAACTCACACAGCTTTGCAGTGCCTCAAAATTTTTTAGCGCAGCTGAACTTTACTCGATTCTGTGTTCTCAACGCTCAAGTTCGAACAACCACCCTACTCAAACTAAATTCCCCGAATTCACACAACCTACCTGCAGCTATGGTAAATATCGAGCTATTCGTTTGTGGACCTGATCCGAATTTGTTACGTCCCAGAAGTCCGACAACCAGAGGTACACACACTGGCAGATCAACAATTTCTTTGCTACGACCGCCTGATTCCAAAGATGTTATGGAAGTTCCTCCGGAGTTGTAGACTTGTACTTGGAAATCATCAACGGTGCATTTGCCATCGTAATCCCATGAGGCAGTCACGCCGGCTACATTCGGTACAGCTATGGTGCGAACCGTTTTTGGAGCATTGGGGACTAAAAGGAATAGATAAGAAAACTGCATAAATTTCCGGCAACATACAGCGACTCCATCACAAACGGAGGCACAAAACATTATATGATACGTAAAGGAAACTACTCCCAAGGTTGCTGAAAACTCTTTGAAGCCCACGATTCGGTTTCGCCCTTCTTAAGGCTCATCAGGTAGGCGCATTTTTGATTTCATTTTGCTGCTGTGATTCTCGCTATATGGTAATCGCGTAGGTCGATTTCACTTACGGAAAGCAGTTTCCGCAAAAACTCACCACGGAACATCGACTCCATCACAAACGGAGGCACAAAACATTATATGATACGTAAAGGAAACTACTCCCAAGGTTGCTGAAAACTCTTTGACAGCCCACGATCGGTTTCGCCCTTCTTAAGGCTCATCAGGTAGGCGCATTTTTGCTTTCATTTTGCTGCTGTGATTCTCGCTATATGGTAATCGCGTAGGTCGATTTCACTTACGGAAAGCAGTTTCCGCAAAAACTCACCACGGAACATACCGGTTGAATAGTTTTCGCAGATTTATTTCCACGTTTTAGTTCATAGGGAACTTAGAACAGCAATCGAGAAGAACTGTCTGACTGATGTCACCATGTATGACGGTCATATTGTGGTCCCTTTAGATGAAGTTACTCTTCGAATATCTGGGGAACGGTCTTTACAAAGGACGTTTAGTTGGCAAGCATCTTTACATAAACTGGAAATATGTATGTATGTATATACTGCATTAGTATGCACCTTATTGTATGTGCTTATTTACCTTATTACATATAAACCTTGCATACACACCTTATTAGGAGGCAATGTACTTTTGAACTCATATCACGGTTGTTCAGTCGGCGAGCCCTTTTCGATTGCACATTTAGCAGAATCAGACCTATATTTCTAAACTGGTTTAACAACTAACAAAGCGTAGAAAGACAGCGGAATACAAGTCTTCAATACAATTTTCACTCAGGCGAAAACCTATTCTCCTCGCGTGAAACGACGCCAAAGTAGACAGGACTGAGCATAGGTTTGGTAAAAGTGCGACATATACAACATTCGCACCGTTCTGCGTTACAACATACAAGCAAACGGAACAAAAATGAACGCAAATACAGTAGAGGGAACTGTCCATGTGCCAAACAGGGCAGCATCAAAGAAAGCCAGCAGAACGAAAAGTTACCTGCATCTATCATGAACTCGGGACTGTTTTGTTTTGGCCCTGGTCCAATTTTGTTTCGGGCTAGTACTCCAGCCAGCAACGGCACACACGTTGGAAGGCCATCAATGCGTATACTAGTTTTGGTTGTTTCCAAATTCTTCAAAGAACGACCATCCCTGTTGTGTATTTCTATGCGGAATTCCGTGGCTGGGCACTGCCCTTCGTATTTCCAAGAAACAGTTGAAATGGCCTCAGTGAGTGATGGAACAATGTCAATACTTTCTAGGGCACTGGGAACTGAAAAGTATCGGAGAAAGTGGAGAGATTACCAAAAGTAAAATACATGGGAAAGGTCACAATGCTGAAAAATTAAAGAGATTTATCTGACGGCTAAGTATGACCGCCAATCCAGATGTTTGATTATTACAAAGATAATCTTTCCGGTATGACGGCGCTGGTCATCGGTCCAAAAACCTATTTCATTAATCGAGGTAGTACAACCTGACTCGGCGATATAAAACACGAAAGTTATTGTTCATAAGGCCTTGTTTTGAGGTTAATCGGCTTGTTTTTCTCTTGAAGATATTCGACAGAACGCCAGTCCCTCCAAATACAAGTTAACACTCTGAGCCGGCACTGAAAACAGACTATTAGTATGTGGTGGCACGTTTATCACACACTCTCTCCACAGAGTTCCAGTGGCAGACATAACTATCGAAATAACTATCGTCGAACTGTAAGAACCACAAAAGCATGTCTGCAATAAAGTCTTCTGCGAGCTGACACAATGGTCGTGGTTTACGCTGGTACAACTGAGTAGCAACAGT